GGGGGGGGGGGGCTTGATGTAACTTTTGCCAAGTCATATGCTTTACATAAATTAGTTATGGAATTAATCCCCATAGGTACAAAACAGTATCTCTCTTTCAGAAGGGAGGAAGCTGAGGATCAGGGAGGTTGAGGAAGTTGGGCGAGGTAAGTTGGGTAAGTTTATGGGGCAGAATCTGAATTTGCATCAGGCTCATCAGCTGTTAACAGTCAAGCTCTAGCCCCTCCTCTAGGGAAGGCACTAAATGACCAGAGAAACAGCCCTGATGGTGAAGTGACAGGGCATGTGAACACCAGCTTCACCAGAAAGGGGTGCAGGCTTTGAGAATGCCCCTGTCAGAGGCAAGTGGGCCGGGCAGTGGGAGGGCTGCTCTCTCAGTCCCCTGGCCTTCTGTGTCCCTCAGAATCGACATTTCTGCTTTACCCGATGATCATCATGGTTCTGCTATTCATACTCTTCTCTGGCACCCTCACCTACTTCTATGTGTGCAAGAGGAAAAGGAAACAGCCACGTAAGTGGAAGCATCATTTGTCACGTGACCTGGTCCTATGCCTAGCAGGGGTCCTGGAAGCGTTGCATTCCCTTGTCCTCAGGAGTGTGGTGGGAGGGAAGAGGCAGCTGCTCAGCCTTTATCCCCAGTTTACATGCTGTGTGGTGGCCACTGGTCTCAAGATCTTGACCATTTGGAATGAAGGTAGGGTTTGCCAGATGTGGAAACATGCCCTGGGTGGTGCCTGGATATCTCGGCAGGTATCCTCTTTCCTTCCTTCCTCCTGTAGGCCACAACGCGGAAGAATGTCTGACAGTGTACGAAGATATCAACAATCTGCGAGTCGGGACAAATCAAGTATGGCACCCTAGAACTGGGGTCTCGCTCAGCTTGTCTGGAGGTCAATTTGAGGGGATAGCCATTCAGAGCAGGAATTGATCTCCTAAAGCAGTCCTTAATCTCCCCTTCGCTTTCTTTTCTCCATCAGCTTTGGAAGTGAAAGAACGAGGAAAAGAAAGGAAACAGAGGAGATGGGAGGAGGGCAGATGGAGCCTTTTGGCATAGAATGTAGCTCAACAAAAACCAACAGTGGGGGTCCTAATGCTGATGATTGGGGCCTGTGTCCGCCTCGCCTCACCAAATGAGCGAGTCCCAAGAGGAATTGAGCCTTCTTGTATTTTTGGAACCAAACCACACATTTTGTGTCAACAGTTTATTTGTCTTAGCCCCTTGCTCCTTGCCCAGGCTGGGAGAGATGCCAGTGTGGCTGCAGCTTTGTGGCTGGCCCACTGGGCTCTGTTCTCTGCCATTTCTGAAGAGGACTGAATCTGACTGAGGAGTAGAAAGAGAAGTCAGGTGAGCACTAAGATACAGGCATCTCTGGGCACCTTTCTCTGAGCTCTTTGAAGGCAGTGAGTGGCTCCATGCAGAGATGTGGAAGTATGAAATGGCATGGTGGCTTCTGACCTCCTCTAATTCGACAAGGGGAAGAAGAATCAACCTCACCAGCCCAAGGCTGATTCTTATGAGTGAACATCAGACACGCTTTCCTTTTCCAACCTTTTAACCAATTAGGATAGCAGCCATCCTTCCCCCTGCACGTTCTACATTTCTATTGGGCATGAGAAATCATTGCAAGGACCATACAAATCTCACAAACATGCACAATTAGTGGGGCTTATTAGGGAAGTATCAGGTCATAACTCAGGTTCAGGGAGGGCATAGGATGCAGTTCTTTAGTTAGGACAGCTTCTTACCTGTGCCCACAGGCAGGCCTCTCTGGCCCTGGGTCTCAGCTTTGGCCCCACAGGCTTCTTGGGCCAGCCCTGTGTTTACGCTGCTCACCAAGTATTACAAAGCCCTTTGAAGCTGCCAGGAAGTGCCTAGAGGCCTTCCATCCCATCAGCAGGTCTCTGGCCCAAAGGCATTCGGCTTGCCCACTGTGAGGGTGAAAAAACCCAATGTGTTGTATCTTCTGCTGGCCAAGTTGTTGCTTGTGCTGCTGATGTTTCTCTGCTGCTATGTATTGCTCTTTGTCTCCTGGGTCTTGGTGGTCCTTAGCACAGGGGTTCTGAACCCAAAGAACATGCTCCATGCCCATCTCTTCTTTCTTTGTGGTTGCGAGGTCCTCCCCTACTTTGGCATTGGCTCTTGTGTACCTGGTGGGAGGGGAAAAAATGACCAATGCTCTGGCTCAAACATCTCTCGAACTCATTGCTATTGAGTCAATTCCCACTCATAGCCCCCTGACAAGCCCGGGTAGAGCTGCTCATGTGGGTTCCTGAAGCTGTAACTCTGTGGGAATAAAAAACCTCGTCTTTCTCCTGTGGAGCACCTAGTGGTTTCAAACCGCTAACCTTGAGGTTAGCAGCCCAACACACAACCACTGTGTCATACTACCCACACAAGGCTGACATGCACCAATCTTGGGGGGGGGTGGTGGCACAAACACTTTATTTGCATAATCCCACGGAGTCATTTGGTGAGAGCTGTACGACTATAGCTCTAAGCACTAGATTAAGCTGTTCACAGCAGCTCAGGAGGGGTAGGACACCACAGTGGATCTACAGGTTGTCCCAAACCACTGGCTGCTCTGTGGGCAGGATGTGGTGACAGGCTTAGTGGAGAAGTCCTCACCAGATTACTTGCTGACAGGCAGTGGGGCAGGATGATGCAGGGGAGAGGTTCCCTCTTCCCACCTCAACTCCTGGTTCTCTGCTTCAAAGGTGATGCACCAAAAGTCACTTCAGGCAAAGAGCCTCACGGAGCAGACAAGTAACTTTCCTCAACCCTGGGTTCAGTGGGACCAAATGATCCTTATTTTCATTTGTTTCTTTGCTCCAGCAGTGGGAATATTGAGTCCGATGAATTCCTGGAAGCAGGCTTATTGATCTATAGATACTGAAGCCCCCATGCTTGATAAAAGTACCATCCTCACCCCCATCAAGATAACATTACATTCGTAACACAGGGGAAATTGCTTGAGGATCTGAGCTCTTTACCCTGCTTCTGACTTGGGGTTCCCCCCTGCTTGGCCTCATCTCTCCCTGACTTTTCCCGATTCGCTCCAGCCTCCCGTCTGCATGTGCTCTAATTGATGTGGTCTCACGGTGGGACAGTTCAGACCCTCTCTGGAGGCACATTGTGCTGGTCGGAGAGGGAAGGAGTGCATGCAGCACACTTGTGAGGCGGCTGGTGCCTCTGGCTCCCAGACTCCCAGGATGGTTGGCATTTCTGTGTCCCACTTGACTTCCTTGCACCTGGTCAAAGGAGCTTTGCTGGCCCCCACTGGTTGCAACCAGAGGCCAAACTGGCAGTGTTTGCTCAGGGGGCAAGGGGCAGAAAATACCTCTGCCTACAACCTGTTGTAAAGGGGCTTGAGAAGGGGCCACTGTGTTTCTTGCCTTGGCCTTAAACTTGGGGCTTCCTCCATCTCTGCAGCTTCTTAGGGGGCTGGCTTGAGGCCAAGGGAAACTGATCCCCAAGACTAGATTCAGCCCGGGGATCAGTGTGCTCAGTTTTACAATGTTCAAACCCTCTAAGTTTTAGTGCTCATATCACTGGAAGGCACAGAGCAGAGTCCCACTCAGAGTTTATGTGGTTTATTAGTTGAGACGTTAGCAAAAGAAGTCACCAATAGGAAGCACGTGACAGGAAATGTCAAGGGAGCCAGCCCCTAACAAATCATCACAGGCCTGCAGGCGCAATTGTACAGTGATCATATGTACAGATTATAGTAAACTCAGAGAACAGAGATAGGAGAGATTATAAAATAAAGAAGTCAGACACATTTTATGGTAGCATGCTCACCTCAGCCCCTCTTCGTGGTCCACGTGAGGATATGGAAGGTGGGAATTGCAGAAGCAAGTGAGAGAGATTTATTACTAACCAAGGCTTATATTTCTTTTGGGGGCGAGCACGCCCCCTAATTACTGGTAAAGACATAAGTCACAAGAAGGGGTTGTACTATAGGTAATGCAGTAATGGGAGGGGCATAATCTAGGGGTGTACATGCTATAAGAAGAGGAGGGATTAAGGGTATACATGTGACAAAATGGGCAGATCCTAAATTCATGATGGAGGCCTGACCTTGACTGCCCTTGAACTGGAGAGTTGATTTAGTCTAAGCTTTCAGGGGAAGCAATCCACTGTTCCTAACTGCAGGGAGTGAGCCCCATCTATGGTGGGAATAAACAATATTGTCTGATTGCTCTGGATGGCTGAATGCCTACAGGGAGAATATGTCTAAGCATCTGACCTCCCACCTTGTGCTGGCAAACAGCTTCTAATGTTTGGCATATCTTTGGGGAAGACAAAGCTGGGGAAAAGTCTTTTTATATCCCACAAGGAAACCCTTGAGCAGTGTGGTCTGGTTACTTCTGGGACATACTATTTCCTGACACTGGTTTCTTGTGGGTTTTAAAAAAAAGTTTTTTAAAAAACTCTACCTACTGAATTGAACTGATAAAGATGCTCCCAGGCCCTGGCACATCCCTCTAGGTGCCTCTCCTTTGTGCTGTCGCTTCCCCCGCAGTCAGAAGTGGACAGACTTCCTGGTTCTGAAGCTCTTTGAACTGTTTCTGGTGCAGGGGCAGGAGCAGGAGCAGCATCCCTCGGGAGAAGGCAGCACCATCTACACCAGGCTCCAGCCCCAGGTACCACTGATGTCTGCCCTCCTTCAGGTGCTGATCTTTGGGCTTCCTAACCCTCCCAGACATTGGTCCTCTGAATGGCAGAATAAGGTCTGGGAATTCTGTGGGATAGAGGTAGCCAGGCATCAGTTGGATGAAGGGGTCATTTGAAAAGTCCAACTGGAGCATCTCAGCAGAGCTGGGATGTCTGATGTGGTTGCTCCTTTTCATCCAGGCTTGCCAGGAGGGCTGGCCCCTGAGAGTGGGCGGGAGGAGGACTCCTGTCAGGGGCTCAGCTTCTGTTCTCTCTCTTTGCACCTTCCAATATGTGGTGTATTTGCACTTAAAAAAAAATCATTTTATTGAAAGCTCTTACAGCTATTATAACAATCCATAATTTAATGAGATCAAACATAATTTTACAAATGGTGCTACCATCATTTTCAAAACATTTTCTTCTTGATTTCTTTGATATTGGCTACCCTTTATCCCCTCCCTCCCCCACCATATCCTCCAGGCATCCTTATTATTATTATTTTTAAAAAATCATTTTATTGGGGGCTCATACAACTCTTACCACCATCCATACATACATCAGTTGTGTAAAACACATTTGTACATGTGTTGCCCTCATCATTCTCAAAACATTTGCTCTCTACTTAAGCCCCTGGCATCAGCTCCTCATTTTCCCTCTCCCCTCCCTGCTCTCTCATGAATCCTTGACAATTTATAAATTATTATTTTATCATATCTTACACTGGCCGACGTTTCCCTTTACCCACTTTTCTGTTGTCTGTCCCCCAGGGAGGAGGTTATATGTAGAACCCTGTAATCAGTTCCCCCTTTCTACCCCACCCTCCCTCTACCCTTCCGGTATCACCGCTCTCAGCACTGGTCCTGAAGGGATCATCTGTCCTGGATTCCCTTGTTTCCAGTTCCTATCTGTACCAGTGTACATCATCTGGTCTAGCCAGATTTGTAAGGTAGAATTGGGATTATGGTAGTGGGCAGGAGGGGTGGGGGGAGGAAGCAGTTAGGAAGTAGAGGAAAGTTGTAGGTTTCATCCTTGCTATACTGCATCCTGACTGGCTCATCTCCTCCTCGCGACCCTTCCATAAGGGGATGTCCAGTTGCCTACAGATGGGCTTTGGGTCCGCACTTCACACTCCCCCTAATTCACAATGATATGATTTTTTGCTCTTTGATGCTTGATACCTGATCCCTTTGACAACTCGTGATCACACAGGCTGGTGTGCTTCTTCCATGTGGGCTTTGTTGCTTTTGAGCTAGATGGCTGCTTGTTTATCTTCAAGTCTTTAAGACCCCAGACACTATATCTTTTGATAGCCAGGCACCATCACCTTTCTTCACCACATTTATTTATGCACCCATTTGTCTTCAGCAATCATTATTTTACATATTATATATATTTATTATTATTATTTTTACTGTATCATGCACCATTCAATGTGTCCGTTCCCCTACAATTTTGTTATTCATCCCTCTCTAGTGGGGTTATACAGTCATCATTGCTATCGATTCCTCTCCCTACCCTTTCTTCCCATACCCTGAAATCATTACTCCCATTACTATTTCCGAAGAGTTTATCACTCTTGGATTTCATGTATCAAACGACCTTAATTATACAAGTGAACATACATAGGTCTCACAAGATTAATGTGGTGAAACCAAGACCATAATAGTAAGGGGTGGAAATATTAAAGAACTAGAGCATAGTGTTTCCTCAGCATTACACTGCACCCTGGATATACCATCCCTTCCATGTGGCCCCTCTGTGAGGGATTGTCCTATTATCTTACAGGTCTGTTTTGGGTCTCCACTTTGCTTACACTCTTTCAAGTCAAACTGATTGCTTGTTTTTGAACTTCTGATACCTATACCTGTTGACACCTCATGATCACCCAGGCTGGTGTGCTGCTTCTAAGTGAGCTTTGTTGCTTCTCAGCTAGATGGCTGCTTGTTTAACTTCAAGCCTTTAAGATTCCAGATGCTGTATCTTTTAATAGCCAGGCACCATCAGCTTTCTTCACCACATTTGCTTATGGACTCATTTTTGTCTTTGGCGGTTGTGTCAGGAAGGTGTGGATCACACATTGCCACATTATTAGAACCACCGTTCTTGAACTGGGGTAAGATTTAAGTAGAGGCCCACAGCCCATCTGCTCTCTTATTATATTTATATCTACACACAAATATACCTATCTTTATATATTTATATACATAGCTATATTTATGCATATATAAAATTTCTACTTTCTTATTCTTTTCTCGTTTTCTTTTATCTTTCCTCCATTATCATCTTTACCCATCCTTCACCTTGCAGTAATTCCTCTCAGCTACATTTCAATTGATCAGACATGACCAGAAACTCTACACCCTCCCCACTGTCAATTTTATTTTATTTTATTTATTTTTAACTTTTACTTTCCCTTCTCTCTTTTTTTTTCCCCCCTTCTCTCTTTAAAAAAAAATCATTTTATTGGGGGCTCGTAAAACTCTTATCACAATCCATACCTCTATCCATTGTGTCAAGCACATTTGTATATTTGTTGCCATCATCATTCTCAAAACATTGTCTTTCTACTTCAGCTCCTCATTTTCCCCTCCCTCCGTGCCCCCTCTCTTTCACGAACCCTTGATAATTTATAAATTATTATTATTTTGTCATGTCATACACTGTCCGACCTCTCCCTTTACCCACCTTTCTGTTGTCCGGGGAGGAGGTTTTATGTAGATCCTTGTAATCGGTTCCCCCTTTCTGCCCCATCCTCCCTCTACGCTCCCGGCATCACCACTCTCACCACTGGTCCTGAGGGGTTCATCTTTCCTGGATTCTCTGTGTTTCCAGTTCCTATCTGTACCAGTGTACATCCTCTGCTTCTTACTTCTTTTCTGTATTTCCTTTTACTTTCCTCTTGTCTCACTATCATGCTCAGCCTTCATTTGGGTTTCAGTAATTCCTCTCGGTTACATTTCCCATGATCAAGTCCTACCAGGCCTCTTACACCCTCATTGCCACCGATTTTGGATCACTTGTTGTTTCCTTGTCCCTGGGTTTGTTAACACCTATGCCTCCCCTTCTCCCATGTCCCCCTGGAACCATTGTTTTCTCCTCCAGATTATTTATCCCACCTATCTTATCTAGATAGACCTGCAGAGATAACAATATGCACAAAAACAAGACAGAGCAAAACAAAGCAACAAAAGGAAAAAAACTCAACAATCACAACCAAAGAAAACCCAATGACAAAAAAAGAGAAAAGCCTGTAAATAGTTCAAGGTCTATTTGTTGACCTTTAGGAGTGTTTTCTGGTGGCATCTGATGGGGTCCCACGCCCTGGCCCCAAAGTCTATTTCTGGTATTCCTTCAGGACTTCCTTGCTCTGGTCCCCTTGCTGTTCTGTTACCCACCCTTAGTGTTTTGCCTTGGCGTCCCCACCATCAATTTTAGATCCCTTTTTATTTCCTGTCCCTCTCCTTATTTGCTCATC